TGCCATAACATCAATTTGTTCTTTCAAGCAAGCCAAATAGAAAGACAAGGAGCCAGTACATGTGTGTGCCAGTCATTGTTCTAGGATGCTGCTCATGTCTGCAACAACTGTGAGGTCGAGATTATGACTTCCACTTTAAGGGCAAAACGGAAGGCCAGAGGAGAAGATTCAGCATCACTGGACTGAAGATCAAAAGTTGAATTTGACTCAGTGCGGGACTTTTGATTTTTCCATCATACCACTATATTGCATTGCTTCTATTTGAGATATTGATGATAATTTGTAGAAATAAAGGCCAGATGACTGTGTCTATAACTAAATGTGAAACTTTGTGGGGCTTCTGATTTAAACTACTGTATCCTTCTTTTCTGTGTTCAGTAATACTTTCAACTTAATTAAAATTTAGGTAAATTATCAATAAATCAGGAAATTTCTTGGTCTAACTCAAATTCTCAGACTGTCCCTACAGAATTCAGATGCAATCTGTACCAAGACCCCTGCTATTCATATCAAATGTAATCATATAGGGGAGCCACATCCAAGAGGGGCAGGGTTGCTGCCCCCCTGGGGAAGGGTCCTTCCAAAGGCAGGAGATGGCAAGTGAACACTGAACCCTGCTCAACCCCAGATGTGCAGAGGGCAGGCTGGCTTCCTGCTCCCCGGAGGCAGGGCTGGTCCGAGTATCTGGGCCTGTGAGCTCACCGACGGCATGGGAGCCTTGGCAGATGCAGGCCACAGCAGGCGGACGGCAGAGTGGAGCAGCGGCTTTTGTTAAGTCTTGAACATTATTTCAGCACTGCTCTTTAGCTTTAAGCTCCTGCAGTTCTTTCCATAATAGCTGAGAGAAATAAAAACACTGCCTCTACTCTCCTTCCTGCCTCCCTCGCACACGCCACACACACCTACCTCCTCCTCCCCTGGCTGTGGCCTTCTGAATACCTGTCCTCCAGGCCTGGCTCCCACACCCGCAGGATTGTTCACACTTTCTCCTGGGGTTGGAGGGCTGCTGTCAGAGTTCAACTGGGATTTGGACAGCAGGGCAGCCAGGTCCCATGGTGACCTTCCTGGCCTTATTGTCTGCACTTGGGAAAGGTGACAGGTGCACATGGGGGCAGTTTGCGAGAATCAATCCCTATTTGTACCAGCTCATCACACACTGGGCAGAATCTTCAGCACCCTGATGATGAAAGGTTTATGAAATACAATCCGGGCTGCCCTCCCTTCAGGAGTAAAAGACCTCATCTGTTTCCCTTCCTCACTTCTTATGCCCCTTCCTTCTTCTTTATCTGCAAATAGCAGAATCATTTCTCTAGTAAAGTTCTCAGAACTTCAAGGAGTATGGATGGGAGAGACTACCATTCTGCATAGAATCCAAGGTCCCTTTGCTGACATTAATTTTGCCTTGGGCCATTTATCCTTCTCTGAAAAACGCTGACCCATGAACCAGGAAATAAATGGCCCATAGCAGGAGAATGGCTGACCCAAGGGGCAGCATGAGTCTTGCAGAGCTGATGAAAAGAAGTACTTGAGACTTCCAACTCAGAGGAAGGAGCTCTGATTGTTGAGTAAGGAACTGCCATTTAAAAGTGTCCCTTCCAATCACAGCTTTCTCCAATCAGAGGTTCATTACTCATTGCCTACTTCTAGTCGCAGAAGTCCCCAAATATAGGCACAGCCCACCCCAGGATGGAAGCCTCAGGCTACTTCCTGTGTAGGGCTGTTTCAGCAGTGGTCATCCTAGTTCTAGGCCTGGTCTACCCTGGGACTTGAATGGAAAATGAGTAGGAAGAAATCTGTCTCCATCAGTGTGACCCATTTCATTCAGTGGGGAATGGGCCTGGGTGAACAAAATTCTCCCACAAATAGCCCAGGATCAGCTTTGTGATCTGTAATTACAGAGATGAGCTCTGAATGATCCAATGGGTCTGTTCTGGTGACACTGAGCTAAGTAAGCCCCATGACACAAGAAGGGAAACAATGCCTCCTCCAGCAAGAAGTTAACTGTCTACTTTTGCAAAACCCGAAGGCCACTGGGAAATTTTACTCATTGTGGTAAATTCAAGCATTGAAAGAGATATAGGTCTCTGGATAGTTCAGCATTTAGCAGCACTCAGAGCCCAAATTAGACTTTTGCTTCTGTAGTCCCTGAGGGTGTATTTTGCCTCAGTGAATGCACAGAGAACCATTCCATAACTGCTCTCTCCAAAAGGCTCCTTTTCCAGGCACACATCGCTTCCCCCAATGACATATGGGCCATATCAGTCTTAATTTGATTCAAATAAAAAAATAAAGGAAAATCAGGGTATAGATGTGATGTGTGACTATGGTTGGATAGGGGTTATGGTTGGATGGAGGTGGGACAATGCTACTGAAATCCCATAGCTTGTATGGGGCAGACCTGAGATTTGAACCCAGGAAGAGGCAGTTTTTGTCCCTGCTCAGTAAAAAAGTTACAGAGAAAAAAAGAAAAAGTTACACAGAGGATGGTTAGTGCCATTACATTACATTATATCATGTATTCAGAAAGTAACTACTAAGGATCAGGCCTTACCTTTTCTTAAATTTTTTTGCAGTACAGCAAGGTGAGATGGAGGATATCAGACAGATCTTCAGGATTCCAAATTTACCAGGCCTATTTCCAATTCTAGCTTTAAAATTATTAACCTTCTATCTGTGTATTCTTCTCTGTGCCTTAGATCTGGTAGTTTCTACCTGTCTGAAGGCAGATCATGACTTCTATCCCCTCCATACTACTTTAGAAAACTATCATAAGAAAACAGCAAACTATCATGAGCCATCAGATAAAATTCCCCATACCAATCACTTGCGAACCAATTACATAACAGTAAAAGCACTGTATTGGTTTTTCTATATTTTTATATCAGTATATATACTATTTTACAGCACAAAATATTTTGTAATCTCACATCAATAAATTAGCAAAAAGTAGTATATATAAGAATTATCTGATAGCTATGTGGGTCCCTTACAGTAGTTAGCATAGGATATTATATTTGAGAGATAAATACTTACATTCAGATCCTGAGTCCTTGAGTTGTAGCTATGGGCAACATTGTTTCTGAGCCTTAACATCCTCATCTACACATGAGCAGGATAATAGCACTGCTTCATGGGCTATGATGATTCAATGCGGGAAATGCACATATACACTATGGCTCATGCCTAGGACATAGAAAATGCTCAAGAAATACAGCTAGGATGACTCATTTCTGACTGTTGTCACACATATAGCTCTGTGTTTAATGGAAACCACTAACGAAATGGACCCACTATCATTGAAGGTGGGAACTTTTGCAAGTGTTAGTGCTTCTGCTTCTGCAGGTTGGGTTTGAAGACCATCCAAGACCTGTGGATATTATTGTTATTCTGGAGAGAAGTGCAGTGTGGTAAAGGAAGCCACTCTTCTGTTCACACTGCTCTGTTATCACCTGCTGTCACAGTTGCCCCAAAACATTTAATTACACATGTCGCTATGCCGAGCACTGCACAAAAGACTTATATATAGATAAGATTTGTGTCTACTCAGAGTTTACAATATCTGGGAGATTTTGATAGACATATGAATTAGAACTTAATGACAAATGAAAAGAAAGAAATACTAGGTAATATAAAGCACCTTTTAAAATGGAAGAAAGCTAAGGAATTATTCCCATTTGCAGGCGTTGTACACAAAAGGTCAAGGTTGACAGAGATTAAATGACCTGCCCTCAGTTTGTGTAGTGCCTGACTTGGGTCCAGCATAGGCCCCCAGAATCTTCCAGCTTAGGGTTGCTGTACCGCGCACCTCTAAAGGGAGCTGCCTGCAGTCGGGTGGAACAGACTGGGTGGTGCTGAGAAACTTTCCAAAATGGGATTGCTGCTTCTCTGCCACCTTTGTGACCATAAATGTCAACAGTCAACAAGTGCTACGGTCCTCTTCAATCTGAAACCATATATTAAAATTGTTACAGGAAGCAAAAGAAAATGCAGTGATTAGCTGTGAAACCTGGGAGAATATCTCAAACGTGTGCTTTGAAGACTGTTGGGATGTGAATTTGTCAGAATCAATGAAAGGAGGTCCTGTGAGGAGCTATGTTTTCCAGAATTTTATTTACATTATACAGCTTGCTTCACATAAGAAGAAGCCCCAAAATGAGGATCCTCAACAACTCCTCAGATCTTAGAATCATATTTCTTAAGAAGTTGTTATATCCATTCTATTACTACTCTCTGGTTTTTATTCTTACCTATCACCAAGGAGATGAATAAATATCTAAAACTCTCTAAGGATACCTAATAACTACACACAAAGTTGTCAGCAAGTCCCTCAGCATATCTACTTTAAGTCTGTCCTGCTGTAGTTTAAATCATTAATATCAGAGACTGCAGATTCACTAAGGCATAAGCAATCAACTCACCTTGCTATCTTTGGGGAAGATTTTCTATATTCAGGCTTAGGACCTGCTCCTCAAATTCCACATACTTTATCCCTTTTCATGTTATATTGCATAGATGATTTCAAGAAATGAAGTGAAGGAAAAATAGGTAGTCTGAAACAGGAGTGACGGGAGGAGGAAAAAGAAAACTATTTATTATTAAGTGCAAAGGTTAACGAGAGGAAGAGATTATTGTTGAATGATATTTCATTGGAGAGAAAAATAAGAATGAAGGAATGAAATTTGACTCTTTCCTTCGCAAGTTTTACTGAGCATGAAAATATCCTTTCAAAATTTCCCTTAATCTGTCCCTGGTTATGGGATCTTTACAGTGTAAAAGGAATCTGAGTTCAGGAGGCCGGGGGACACTAAGGGGAGAGGGGATTTTCTGTTGCTTGGGGGTCTGAGACTGTCAGTTTAAAAAATGGAAGTAATATAGAAGGGGCAAGGTGGCATTTATCATGCTATCTCTCCAGGCTCCTGTCTCTTTAATCAGCTAGCCTGATTTGCCCAGTAAATGATTCCAGAGAGAGAGAGAGAGGGAGAGAGAGAGAGAGAGAGAGAGAGCGAGAGCCCGTGCGTGTGTTGCAGCTCTGTCAATCCTTGGATTAGAACCAATGATTGCAGCTTGTAGGAGGGCTGTCCAGGGCCAGATTGTACAACGTGTCTCAGTGCCAGAGTATGAGTGGAGATAATTACGGGGAAGTCACACTCTCTCACACCAGCAGCTTCCTTGTGTCCTTCAGCAAAACAGTGGATTTAAACCTCCTTGTACGAGCTTGAGAGCTGCACAATCTATCAGGAAAAAAAAAAGGGGGGGGGGGAAGAAAGAAAGGAAAAAAATCGAACCTGACAAAAAAGAAGCAAAAGAAGAAAAAAATCATGAAAACCATTCAGGCAAAAATGCACAATTCTATCTCTTGGGCAATCTTCACGGGACTGGCTGCTCTGTGTCTCTTCCAAGGTAAGCGCTTGCTATTGATTTGCCTACAGTAGATCAGGGATGGTACGGTGTGCTTTATATGATTCGCAGACTCCCGTAGCTGGCTCTGCTGCGCGGCTTGCAGGTGGAGAGAGCTTTTAAACAGCATGGCTGGGACTTCATTCTCCCAACCGGGCTGTGGGAATATTGATTGGGTTCTGGCTGCTCCTGGAATAGGAGATGTATATGCATAAGTAAAATGAGTCTGCTACTCTTGTTAGGTCCCCACTTATGTGCTGGGCTGCTGGCTTCCTGCACATTCTTGCACACATACACATCACAGCATGCATGCAAGCCAGGGAAAATTACAGATGGGGAGGGCAGCGGGGTTACTAATGTGGTGCTTATGCGACTGAGAAGAAATTACAGGAGGAAACTTTAAATATGGGCCGGTGAACTTGCAAAGCTTCCAAAAGGAGCAAAGAAGATGCAGGCTCGAAATAATCGGTTACCGCCAGTAAGGTGCTGGTCAGCGATCTTGCTTCAAGGGATGAATCAATTTGCGGCAGTGCTGAACAACTGTGTTAGTTCTGAATGCGTTTGGGGGGTGTGTGACACAGGCTGGCTGGAGGGGGGCAGGCAGGTGTGGGTTACAAGCAGATAAAAGGCAGTGCAAGCAAAGGCTCTGAAATTCAGGAAAGCTGTTCTAAGTTGAAGGGAGAGAGGCACTAAGAGCCGAATGCTAATTTGCTGTTTACTTATGGGGCTGGGAAGCCCAGCAGGAGTGCAGTTTCAAGGGGAGCTTCCTCTCTGGCCAGGGCACTTAGCCTCTGCTGCTTGCAGTGCAGGGTTCAGTTGCTTTGGGGATCTGCCTCAGCCTTGAGTCCATTTGCTGTGCTGTGGCCCCTACCCCTGCCCCAGCCCTCACATTCCTTCTAGCAGCAGAATTAGATGTTAACCTGCTCCTTTCCACCCACCCTGTCTTTAGGGGATCTGGTACCCTTTTTCATAGCACAGGTGCCTGAATTCATAGGGGTAGGGCAGGCAGAGAAACTTTCCCTGGGTGGTCCAGCAGGGTTCTGCAGGAGGAGCCCTTCGAGAGGGAGGTGGAGGGAGGAAGGCTGTTTCCTATGCAGTTGTATTCCCAGAGGAAAGTTCCCTCTGTCGGATGAGAAAAGACAGGCGTCCCAATGCCTTTCTCTCTTCTCCCACTACAACAATAGGATGTTAGGGTCTTTCTAAGTCTGCCCTTGCTGACCCCTTCTGAGGTCAGGCTGTGGGAGCTGCCACTGCCTCCAGCAGACCCATAGAAGGTAGACAGAGGGTCCACCCTGAAAAGAACCAGTGTGCTTGCACCCTTGGCTGGGGCTCTGAAAGGAAGGCAGGAGCACTAGAAGGATCTGTGTGGGAAGACAAGGAGGCCAGGGTCTTGCAGGGAGGGTATCTGTGACATTGTCTCCTGGGCCCACCAGGAAGGCGGGCTTCAACTCTCTTTCCTCTCTCCTGAGGCACTGGTGGGTGTGAAAGTGAAGGAGTCAACTTCCAGGCATCCTTGGCTGACTCCTCTTACATAATGTGGAGAAGCAGCAGAGTGCTTCTGTGAGCCTTGGGTGAGCAGGGCCCTCCCCAACACTCACAGTGGGGAAACTGAGTTTGAGACCAGAAAGCTTCAGGGAAAGCATCATGCAACCTAATAACAGAAATGAAAACTAACTGAGCCAGGCATGGAGTAAGGAGTCAGAGGAAATCAGAGAAAAGGTCCAGAGCCCTCAGTAATTTCCATCTGTCCTGAGATCCATGTCTCTTCTATGATAACATTAACCTGGAGATGGTGTCCCAAATTCCTCTATCAACAGCCCTACTGGCTGCATTCCAGGAGCCCCAGGGCCATACTGAATTTACATATAAATTAACATGTGTGATTTTTTTTCATCAGAAATAAATGCAGGGAAGCATAATATTTGCGCATACTTTGAAGCATGCCTGAATACATGAGAAGAAATTGATGGTGCAATTTTCCCCAGGGTGAAATCCGGTTTTGTGGTCTTCTTCCTGTCTTGGGGTGGGGGTGGGGTGGGGTGAGGAATGGTCATATTCTACCAAGTCCTGAATTTCCCAAGGAGAATGATGCCTTTATTTGTGCCAGCCACTTCCAGTCAGCTGTGAATAGGCTGCAGTGTGTCATAATAGAATGAGACTGCCCAATTTTAAGGCAGGATGACCCCCAAGGACCCCCATAGCACGCACTAGTGGGATATAGCAAAGGTGCTGTCTGTTTTCTCTTTCAGGAGCAGGAAGCAGAGTCTGCCAGGTATCTCTTATCAAACTTGCAGAATTACTGAGGCAGCCCAGGTCTTGCCTGCAATAATCCACCCTATTGCATTGACCCAGTGGGACTAGTTAGAATGCAGTACACATTGAAATGCAATTTTTTCTTGTCCTCTATTTTTGTTTTAAACTGGCTCTTTCTGGGGCTGCTGCTCTCTGTTTCTTGCCTCATAAAGATATGTGGTGCTAGTGGCATGTTATAGACCCTTCGGAGACCTCCTCTTCCTACCCCAGCGCAACCAGCAACCAAGATGGGACTTAAGACAGGAGAGAATAAGTGCTGATTAGTGTGGATGTCATTGGGAAGGGGTGATTAGCTCTAAGGTGCTCTGGCCCTTAGATTCACAGGGTTGATTAACTGGAGGCCCCTGTTTCCTGGGAGCAGAGAGAGAAGCTAGCTGAGGAGCTGTCCTTCCGGCACACCACCCACCTTCTGTTCTGCCACTGAGAGGCTCTGGAGGGAAGGGCTGAGTATGCTGCGGATTTTCTTTCTAGAAACCCAGAAATTGACCATGCTTCCTGCCTCCTTGGAAGGATCATTGTTTCCTTCAACACCTTTCCATTAGCTTGGCCAGATTCCTCCTATACCTTTCTATTTTTCAGTCCTCCCTCCCTGTCCCATATCTACTAAGCTGCTGGCTAGAGACACAGACAGGGGAGAGAAAGGGAGGGAGGCCCAGCTAAGTTCAAATTCTCCTTAGCTCAGTGCCAAGGCCATGGGCACCCTCCAGTAGGGCAGACCAGCCAAGTTCCTGCCACTCGTGTGGGTGCCCACAGCAGCCCAAGTGAGACAGTGCTTCTGAGGCATGAAGGATCATCATTTTGGGACCTGATGTAAGCATTGCAGATACTTGAAAGTAGAGCTGAAAAGAGGAGGAGGGGCTCACGATGTGGCCCCTGGCTGCCACATTGGGAGCTGCCAGCTTAGGGCAGTGCAGCTCTCCTCCCTCCGGCATGCTAGACAGGACCTGACAGCAGTGCTGGGCCTTGAGCATTTGGCTGGCTTCACAGCAGGTCTTACTGCACAAAGGCCATCCTTGGAATTGTAGTTTTAGTTATCAGGTACACAGCCAAGTTCTGGTACTGATTTTTTTGTTTGTTTGTTTTTGGTTGTTGTTCTTTTAAAGTCAAGTGTAAGTACAACAATGGCTCTTTATCAGCTGTGATGTATGGCCCCTGACTTCTGTTCTTTCTTAGTCAGCTTCATCTACAGCATTCATTAAGGAGTCCTGAAAAGGGACTTTAAATATCTCTCTTGGTTCCCTGAGAGAGGTGATCTATCTGGACTGCCTTCTAGCAGTTCCCAAGTGACCTCTGCTCTCCATGAATTGGTCTGGCAGAGCCCTATGGGGCACATCATGGGTGGCCTAACAAACTAGTGTTAGCTTTAGCCACGGTTTATCCTTTGGAGTGAAGTGAGATCACACTATTGCCAGGGGTTGCAGAATTTGTGAATTGAATGGGAGATGTGATGGTGCCTTATGTGAGAAATATGCACTGGGAAAAATTTTAAGTTCTCTGGCTGTCCACTCATGGTGGAGACACAGCATGGATGGACCAGTAGGTAGGGATCTGGCTGTTTTCCAAATTTTGTTTTATTTTGGTGAGGAACTCATGGCCTGTTCCTGCTCACAACTAGAATGCAAAAGAAGAAAGTGAAATTGCTTTCTATCTGACCTTAGCAAAGGTCCTACAGATGCTTAACCAGTCCATGTGCATGGCCTCCATGCGCTAACCCAGTTCTAGGCCTCTAAGCATAGCTCAGGAGGATGGTGCATATATCTGAGCTCCAAGATTTCTTTGTTGTCTGTAGGAAGAAATCTGGCCCTCTGTGAGTTTGTTGCCTTACCTGCCCGCCAGGCCAGGGAGCAACTCCCCTGGGTGTTGTAAGGATTCATTAAAGCTTGTAACACTCCAAACATGTGGTGCTAAGTGGAACTCCATGCTGAGACCCGTGTATTTATACAGTTTACTTCCTTTCTGCTCTATTGGCTTGTTATATGTTTACTTTATGTCTATAGTCATTTGAAATTCAATAAAAACAAATTAAGCATACAAAGTGAAAACATGCAAACACAAGGTATTCAATGGTGCTGGGATTGCTCAGGGGATCATCCAAGTGGCTCTGTCCAGCGCCCTCCACCCTAGAGGTAGATGTTACTTCTACTGCAGAACTCCTGGCAGAGGGGTGAGGTACCTTCAGGGGACACTTGCAGGGAGCTTGACCCCTATCCTTTTGCACAAGAAAGCTACACATGGGTGTGGAAACCCACAATGTGCATGGCAGGGAGGAGGAGCCTTGTGGAGGGTGGGCACTAGGGGAAAGAGTGTCTGGAGAGAAAAAATAAATAGCTCTAATCTAGATTAGCAAAGAGTGGGAAAAACAAAAACTGTCTCTGCTGCTTTGGCAATGACTGTGAGCAATCTGTGAGAGCTTTGTATTTTCTTTTATGTGTGTATATTCATTTATTTATATGTGGTCTCCCTTGCTTATATTTAAGGATATTTGGGTTCATCCACTTTCCCTTTCAGTCTCCTCCTAGCCTTCCTCTCCTCCTGCTCTCTCCCTCCTTCTTAGTTCTTTCCATTTCTCTTTTGGTCTGTTCCCTTTTCTTTCTTTCTTTCTTTCACTTACCCTGCTCTTCTATGGGAAAAATAATTGATCAGTTGACAGATCTAGGTCAGGCTGCCAGAGGTTGCTGTGCTTCCACACA